AAAATGTAAATAAATATTAATTATCACTAATAAAGCCAATTGTTCTATTGCTCCATATATTTTTTTTAAATAAACCGTAATCTACAATAATTTACTGATGTTTAGAGTAACGAAAAATAGTATGACAATTAAATGTATGTAATATAATACATTATGTTAAAAAACTGTATGAAAAATCATTTGACCAAAAGTCTTAATAAAATTAGTTTTCTATAATCGTTATACTAACAAATAACACTACCCAACTGTTACTCACCGATTTGAATGAAACTTAACATGCTTATTAAACACCGAAAAATATTAAATACGTGTTTTTCTGTTTCGGCTAAATACGCTTTTTAGGGGTAGAAAGCACCCCTCAACTCCTGGAGATGGAAACAGTTATCACTAATTATTTCTGAACGATACACTTTCTGAAAAAAGTGCTTAGGACCAAAGTTGTAGAGTTCAAAGTGATGCACTTGATGGCGACCTTGAAATCGACCTTGAGGTGGATTTTCGAGGTCAATTAAATTTGGAAATAATTATTCTCTTCTTATAATCAATGTCTACAATTTATTTGAATTTTGTATCGTCTTGCACAACTTCCGAAACATCTTCTGAATTGTCTTCAACTAAAACAGCATCAGGAATCACACTAGCATCAGTACAGTTCAAAGTATCATAAGTCTCTTTAAATATATCAAAATTGATAGCGTCTTTTATCAAATCTGCAAGTTGAGAAGCGATTGATCTTTCTTCATCTGTTATTCTAGATTCTATATTGTATACTGGGTCCTCGAAAGTGAGGCATAATAACTTTAAAACATTTCTTGGGTTTAATGACATTACGAAATTTTACAAATTAACAATGCTTTAATAATATTATAACAGAGATTCAAAGTAATTCATAGAAAGCAGAGTTTATGATTGTATAAGCTTAAATGAAATTAACACAAAAAATAGTCGTAGGAACAAATGACGGAAAAGTACTTGCAATAAATATTTTCCGAAAGAATTTTGAAAACATTCACAAGAAACAGCAGTCGTAAGAACAATTGACGTAAAACTATAAACAATGAACACTCACCCAAGTACAGATGTGAAAATGATGGTTGATAGTATATTCGAACGAAATTCACGAGCAAGATAGCTCATAGCAAATAAGTGATCAAGAAGTAATTTTGGAAAATGCTTGCTCAACGACAGTCAGGAAAATAATAATTGATCATGTTCGAATGAAATCCTAATACAAAATAAAGAGTAAAAGGTATTGTGGATAACTCCAGAGTAGCAATAAAAATTTGAAAATTTCTAATATAGCATGAAGGTAATGTTTAACTTACAATTAGAGTGACATTTTATATTTTCTTATCTTTACTTCTATTTTGAAGTTACTTATAAAACTTTTTTCTCCTTCTTATTTTTTCTATAAATTTGCGCTTATTTTCCCATTACGTCAGGTTCTTTTCTTTTTTTAGGAAAATAACTCAACAAATCAATTCTGAAGACAGATTTAGTCAACGCATAAAATTACCGATTATAGATACAGGATGTGGTCAAAGTCCGGCAACGGTTAATTATTTCCAAATTTAATTGACCTTGAAAATCCACCTCAAGGTCGATTTCAAGGTCGCCATCAAGTATATCACTTTGAACTCTACAACTTTGGTCCTAAGCACTTTTTTCAGAAAATGTATTGTTTCAGAAATAATTAGCCATAACTGTTTCCACCTCCAGGAGTTGAGAGGTGCTTTCTACCCCTAAAAAGCATATTTAGCCGAAACAAAAAAACACGTATTTAATATTTTTCGGTGTTTAATAAGTATGTTAAATTTCATTCAAATCGGTGAGTATCAGTTGGGTAGTGTTACTTGTAAGAGTTAATAAATCACTACCACATATAATATCACTGTTTCTTATTAAAACTCGGAAACATTTGAACCACATCTTTCATTTATGAAATTTTAGTAAAAACTAATGAAATTAGAACGTCAGTCGTTCTGCGCTGTTTATTAGATGCGCCTAGAAGACATAGGTCCAATTTCAAATTTCTTCTAAAAAGTGTATATCGGATAAAACATATCAGGGAAAATGTAAGTATTTCTTAACATTGAATAAATAATGCAATTCTGGACGATACATAAACCGTGATTAATATTAATCGTACCTTTTATACGCACAACTATACTCGTCAACAAAATTATCACATAGGTAAATTTATGTCAAAATTTCGCACAATTTTAAATGAACATAATATCGCGAAACATGATCGTATTTGAAATATTTTTTTTTATTTTAAAAGATGAAGTCTGTATTTTAAGAAGCATTTGTCGAATTTTGAATTTATTCTCCCCCTTTCCTGCAGTCTTTTTAAAAGTAAAGACGTGTTACGTCTCCAAAAAATTGCACAGTTTGACATATTCTGACGGGGCGGAATAAATTTTTCTCGTAAATTTCATGATAACTACCGTAAAATATAAATTTTTCCCTGCAATTTAAAAAAAAAGCAGATTTGTATGATTTTTTTCGCGAAGTTGTGACATATCAAAGTAACGTATGCATTTTTTTTAAACCGTTTAATTTGACGCACTGGATAAAATGATTCCTCCTGCAAATTTTATAATAAACATCGTAAAATATTAACGTTTCTTGCAAATAAAAAAATAAAGAAAAGATTCGTACGACTTTATTGTACGGTGTTACGGTATATCAATGTTACCTATGCATTTTTAATCAGTTACCGTCAGTATTAGTGTTACCATGGGATCCTTATCTTTGCTGTGAAAAATGCGCGCGTAGGGCATATACACACATGATGCGCAAAATCCGATCAGCAACCTCCCCGTGGTGCGCATCGGGTAATATGCTGACGGTAACTGATTAAAAATGCATAAGTAACATTAATATACCGTAACACCATAGAAGAAAGTCGTGCAAATTTTTCTTTATTTTTTATTTGCAAAGAACGTCGATATTTTACAATGTTTATCACAAAATTTGTAAAAGGAATTCATTCCATCTAGTAGAGTGCGTCAAATTAAACAATTTAAAAAAAATGCATACGTAACTTTGATATGTCACAACTTCGCGAAAAAAATCGTACAAATCTGCTTTCTTTTAAATTGCAGGGAAAAGTTTATACTTTACGGTGGTTATCATGAAATTTACGAAAAAAATTTACGAAAAAATTTATTCCACCCCGTAAGATACGTCAAATTGTGCAATTTTTTTTAGAAACGTAACACGTCTTTACTTTTGAAAAGACTGCGAGAAGGGGGAAAAATAAATTCAAAATTCGACAAATGCTTCTTAAAGTACAGACTTTAAAAAAAACCCTTTACACCCTTTAAAAAAAAAAATTTCAAATATGATAATGTTTCGCAGTATTATGCTTATTTAAAATCGTGCGAAATTTTGACATGAATTTACTTATGCGATAATTTTGTTAACGAGTATATTTATGATAGTTTAGATTAGTAGATGAGTGATGAGATTAATGATTGTTGTATAAGTGAGAACAGGATAAGATTTTTTATAAAACTTGTTTTGCTAGATAGGTTTACATAATACGAAAAACTACAGGAACGAATTATAAATAGCGTGCACTTGAAAAGAACATACAATACGTGTTAATTTGTCGAGATGGTAAGACGTATCGGAAGGATTCAAACTCGTATTAAAATTCCGCAAATGAAATACAGATTAACGTGTGAAAACTGTGTTTAAAAGACTTTACGAAATTCAACAAAAATAAGTTTTCATACTATATAAAAAAAAAGTTACCAAAAAGAATTTGTGACATAACTTTAGTTTTTTGGCTTTAAAGTTGTGAAGAATATCGAGATTATTAAAGAGCACAATGAAAATATTCCTTCATGTTTTCTTAATAATTATACTGGCAATGTCCAGCCTAATATCACTTGGAATGTCAAAAAGAGCCCGTCGCGAACCGTCTATCGTCGAAATAGGACTACCTCGTCCCTCGACTTGCCCACCAGGAAAGCAAAGAAACCCGCACGAAATATGTCAGGATACTGTGTGATAAACAATAAAATTGAAGATAAGCAGGTAATCATAAATTAAAAATTTCCTACCTTTAATTACAATAAATGAAATTATATATAAAAACTTCTCATATCTATCAGAATCTCTATTCTATATTTTCACACTTATTATTTCCTTCTTTATATATTTTTCTTTAGACATAAATATTTAAGACATTTTACGACAAAAAAATGTCTAATGATACAACAAATGAGAGGAAGTTATTCAAGAGACACAAAATAACATATGGCAATTTATAAATATAAATAAACATTAATTATCACTATTGAAGTCAATTATTCTGACATCCTACATATCTCCTGGAATGATCTATAAACTATATAATAATTTACTGATGTTCGTGATAACAAAAATTAGAATAAGAATCATATATGTAATATAATATAATATGTTAGAACTCCATGAAAAATCATTCGATTAAAAAGTCTTAATAAATTAGTTTTCTATAATTGTGAGACTAAGAGTTAATAAACAACTACCTATTATGACATGACACTGTGTTTTATTAAAACTCGGAAACATTTGAACCACATCTTTCATCTGTGAAATTTGAATAAAAATTAACAAAATTAGGACGTTTGCCGATCTACGCGGTTCATTAGATGCGCCTAGAAGACAGGTCCAATCTCTTCTAAAAAATATATGTCGGACAAAATATTATATGTGGAGGTTCTATTTGGATGACAGACGATTCTCAACGGGCTTTTTTTGACATTCCAAGCGATATTAAGGTGGACAATCAGCATAAATGTTAAGAAAACACGAGGGAATATTTCCATTATGCAGTTTAGTATTAATCGCATGTTTTATATGCGCAATTATTTCGCATAGCGTAGATTTGTATTTGTTACATACATGGAAACAGGATAAAGTACTTAGTAAAACTGGTTTTGCTCGTAAATAGGCTTACGTAACATGAAAGACTATAAGAACGCATTATAAACGCGCATACACGTGAAAAACTTACAATACATGTGAATTTGTCGAGACGGTAAGACGTGTCGGAAAGATCTAAACTCGTATTAAATTTCCGTAAGTGAAATACAGATTGAACGTATGAAAACTGTGTTTAAAAGACCTTACGAAATTCAACAAGAATAAGTTGTCATACTGTAATAAAAAAAGTTACTAAAAAAATTTGATTTCATAACTTTAGTTTCTTGGATTTAAATTTGTGAAGAACATTGGGATTATTAAACGGTACAATGAAAATATTCCTTCATGTTTTCTTAACAATTATGCTGATAATGTCGGGCCTAATATCGCTTGGAATGTCAAAAAGAGTCCGTCGAGGAGTGTCTGTCATCGAAGTAGAACCACCTCATATAAGACACTTCCCGAAAGAAGCGACTTGTCCACCAGGAGAACTTATAGATCCACACGGAATATGTCGGAAATTACGACGTGATAAATAATAAAATTGAAAATAAGCAGGTAATTATCAATTATCTGCTACCAAAAATCTGCTACCTCTATTTACAATAAATGAAATTATATATATATGAAAACTTTTCATATCTCTCAGGAGATCTCCATTCTATATATTTTCATACTTATTATTTCCATCTTTTATACATTTCTCTGCAGGCCTGAATATTTGACACGTTCCACCACAAAAGAAATATCTGATAATACAGAAAATGAAAGAAAGTAATTCAAGAAACACAAAATAGCATATGGCAACTTACAAATATAAATAAACATTAATTATCACTAATGAAGTCAATGAAGTTCTGATGTTTTATATATCTTCTGGAATAATCTATAATCTATAATAATTTACTGATGTTTGTAATAACGATAACTAGTATAAGTGTTATGTATGTAATATAATATAGTATGTTAAAACTGCATGAAAAATTACTCGATTAAAGAGTCTTAACAAAATTAATTTATTATAATTGTGACACTAAGAGTTAATAAACAACTTACTATAACATAACAGTGTTTCTTATTAAAACTCAAAAGCATTTGAACTGGACTTTTTTCTTATGGCATTTTAATAAGAGTTACCGAAATTAGAATGTAAACCTTTCCACACGATTCATTAGATGTGCGTAAAAAGCAAAAGTCCAATTTCGAATATCCTCTAAAAAATGTATATTGGAAAAACCTTTCAGAGAAAAATGTAAGTATTTCCTAACATCAAATACATAATGCAATTTTGGACAACACATAAATCACGAGTAGCATTATTGTTATTAATCGACTGTTTTATATGCTTAGTTATTTGTCATAGCGTAGATTAGTGATTATTTTACATACGTAGAAACAGGATATGGTATCTTGTAAAACCAGTTTTGCTGATAGATAGGTTTACGTAATAAAAAAGACTATAAGAACTCATTATAAATAGCATGTATGTGAGAAAACTTACAATACGTGTTAATTCGTCGGAACGGTAAGACGTATCGGAAAGAAATTCGTGTTAAATTTTATAAGTGAAATATAAATTTTGTAAGTGAAATATAGATTAACGTAGAAAACTGTGTTTAAAGAATCTTACGACATTCAACAAGAATACGTTATCACTATAACAAAAAAGTTGTTGAAAAGAAATTGACTTCCTAATTTTAATTTCTTGGCTTTAAGGTGATGAAGAATATTGCGATAATTAAACAGCACAATGAAAATGTTCCTCCATGTTTTCTTAATAATTATGCTGATAATGTTCAGTCTAATATCATTTGGAAAGTCAAAAAGAGTCCATCCAGCAACACAGCCTTCGTCTACGACCAACGCATATCCTACACCAACTGCACCACCTGCAAGGCCTACAGCTAATATTATAGACACTCCGAATTTTAAAGAAGTGATTTGCCCACCAGGGAAACTAAAAGATCCACGCGGAATATGTCGCGACAAGCAATAGCATTAAAGACAAGCAGGTAATTATCCAATAAAAATTTGCTACCCTTAGTTACAACAAAAGAAATTATACATGATATCTTCTCATTTATCGTAATCTCCATTCTATATATTTATTTCATTTACTATTTTTATCTTTTATATTTCTTTTCATGGAGGCTTAATACTATTTGAATACTATGTGAAACGTTCCACATCACAAAAATCACGCATCAAACAATACAGCAGATGTGAAAAATTAATACAAGGGACATAAAATAACATATGACAACTTACAAATGTGAATAAATATTAATTATCACTAATGAAGTCAATTATTCTGACGTTCTATATATCTCCTGGAATAATCTGTAATCTATAATAATTTACAGATGCTTATGGTAACGAAAAGTACTATAAGAATTATGTATGTGTAATAGTATAATATGTTGGAACTGTATGAAAAATTATTCGATTAAAAAGTCTTAACAAAACCAATTCAGCAAGAGACACAACAGTGTCTCGCGCCAAGTGCACGCGAGAGCGACGTGACGTGCATGGGCCGCGAGACCGATCGGGGTCTCTTTACGCGAATCAAGAGACACAGCAGTGTCTCGCGCCAAGTGCACGCGAAAGCGACGCGACGCGCATGGGCCGCGAGACCGGCCGGGTATCTTTACGCGAAGCACTTGGTTGATCGGACACAAGATTATCGTATCACCCAAACTGCTAATCTGATCGAGTTCTAAGTGAGCTCAATAAATTCCTTGGAGTCGACTTACATAACAACACTGTCTTTACTTTTATCCTACGTGCACTGTAAGTCGAAATATTTTAGTTCAAAGTACGAAATCGTGAAAAACTATCACGTCCGAAAATTCGTCGTCAAAATGTCCAGTTCCATCAGATCTGTATAAGTGGCGACTGTGAACACGCTTGTCGCTCAGTGCTGAGCCCGCGAACGTGTCCATCGATGCTTAACCTAACTTTTCTTCACAGTTGGATGTCGCTTATCTTATGCAAGTGTATTCTACATGTATTCATACGTTAATCGCAAAAAGTATGAGTTATATTTATTATTATTATCCAAGAAATATTATTCTATTGTTGTTACAGTTATATTTAAAGTGATTAAATATGTGTACTAAAAAATTACGGACAGAAAATTACTTTTAAGTGATTACTCATTGTTTATTAATAAACTTGCTATCACCACTATTAATTCTATAAAAACTACTTGTTACCTAAAACTTGTTAACTTGTTAAAACTTGTTACTCTAGTAATTTAAAGAGTGAATGAGCTTTTATAGGAAGTAATGAGTTTGTACCGTTAGTATAGTGAGTAACCACTGCGTAGTGTTGTTACGTTATAGGAGGTTGAAAGTTATCTTTGTCTATAATTATTTAGTAAAGACATTAGTCACTTTAAATGCAACTGTAACAATAACTTAATTATATTTCTTGGTTAATAGTATAATATAACGAAAACTTTTATGGTTATAAATGCATGTAGAATACAAATATATGAGGTAAGCGGTATCGACCTGTCAAGAACAAGATTTTCAAAACTTGCTATCACCACTACTAATTCTGCAAGAACTACTTGTCATCATTCTGATAATGTGAGGAGTATTATAAGAAGTATTAAGTTGATATTGATGAGATTTTTATCAAGTTTTGAAGATCCTGTTCTTGACAGGTTAATGTCGCTTACTTTGTACACATGTATTCTATATATATTTATAAGGTAATCACAAGTTTTAATTATATTATACTATTAATCAAAAATTTTGTGGTATGCTTGTAAAACATGTAGAATACATGTGCAAGAGGTAAGCGATATTGAATTGTCAAGAAAAGGATCTTCAAAACTTGGGTTACCAACTCAGTACTATTTTAATAATTAAAATAATGTAAAACCCACTTGTTACCACTCTAGTAATTTAAGCAATAATGAATCTACAGGAGGTTGTTAATTAATATCGCAAACAAACTTTTATAGTCAAAACGAAAAAGGAAAGAAAGCACAACTTAACGCTCTGTAATATAGGGGATTAAAATAACGCTGTAACATAGACAACTAAAATTTATTGCAGTCTTATATTGTCTCTTAAATGCAATCACAAGACCGAGTGTCTACAGAAAGTTGTCAACGTCGCAAAAAAAATTTATATTCGATTGATTAAATCCTATTCTAAACACCATCGATAGTATGATTACCACCTAAGCAAAATACAATTTTTTTCTTTCATGTTCCGTTTTCTTTCGAAGCTTAATAATCATTGCATTTTCGATGGTGTTTAAAGTAAGATCTATATATACAACAGGAAACCTATACATACAACAGAAAACGAAACATCAAAGAAAAAGAATTATATTTTTTTAAGTAATAATCATACTTTCGATCAGTTTTCCAATATATTTGAGAGGCTGCACGCGTATGCGCGATAAATCTCTATTCGGAAGAGAGAGACAGAGAGTCTCTATCTCTCTCTTTCGAATAGAGATTATCGCGTATGCGCGTGCAGCCTCTCCAACATCGGAACATTGCTTTCAATAATTAATTGACAACCTCATGTAGACATTTTGACTTGTGATGTTAGAAATTGAACATTTGAATTCACTTGTTTATATTTTCCTGTTGTATATGTAAATCCTATTCTAAACACCATCTAAAGTATGATGATTATTGAGTCTTAACAATTTGTCTGTCATCAATTACAATTACAAAAAGACACACGTTAAGTGCATATAAGAACGAAGCGATTTTATATGTGAGATACTTCGATCCATTTTTTTACTTAAGTACGCATCAGTTATTTGTATATTATTTGTCATCTGAAACTTGTATAATTATTTATAAAATACTCAGATAATTATTTAAAGTTTGATTTAAATGTTTCAGTTAAATGATACATATGTGACATCCATATATTTGTAACAGCGCTTCGATTGAAGAACCGAGTTAACCAATCAAATCGTTCCACTGGGACAAGTGCGTTGTGCGTCGTACGTTATGTCGTCCCAATGGACTATATTCATAGACCGGTCTTATATTTAAGATCGTCTTAAGTTCACGTTCATTCATTACTCAAAAACTATTTGTTAGCACTCTGGTAATTTAAGTAATAATGAATTATTATAAAAAGTACTGAGTTGGTAACGTTTTCATCAAGTTTTGAAGATTCTTTTCTTGACAGTTCGATAATGCGTATCTCATGCACGTGTATTCTTAAGTTTAACACAAAAGGTTCAGTTATATTTATTACTATTATCCAAGAAATATAACTCTGTTACTGTTATCGTTGCATTTAAAGTGATTAATATCTGTATTAAAAAATTACAAACAAAAAATTACTTTTAACTTTCTAACGTAACAGCGCTACAAAGTGGTCACTCATTGTTTATTGAAGAACTTGCTATCATCATTACTAATTCTACACAAACTATTCGTTATCACACACAGTAATGAATTATTATAGGAAGTACTGAGTTAGTATTGTTTTTATCAAGTTTGAAGATCATTATCTTGACAGATCCATGTCAACTCAGTGCTTTCTATAACAATTCATTACTCTTTAAATTATCAGAGTCATAATGAATAGTTTTTGTAAAATTAGTAGTGGTGATAGTAAATTTTTCAATAAACAATGAGTGACCACTGCGTAGTTAATGCTACTTATGTTAGAAGATAAGTAATTTCTTGTCTGTAATTTTTTAGTACAGATGTTAATCTGTAACTTTAAATGCAACGATAACAGTAACAGAATTATATTTCTTGATTGAAAGTAATAAATATAACTTAACCTTTTGTGTTGAACTTGAGAATATACTCTAATATATAGAATATATGTGCATAAGATAAGTGACATCAAACTGTTAAGAAAAGGATCTTCAATATTTGATGAAAATGTTACCAACTCAGTATTATTTATAATAATTCAAATGTATGTAAAAAAGAATGTGAAATCCAAACAAAATTACTTTTAAAAAAAATGAAAGAAAACGCCAAGTACACGCGTTCCAGCGTTTGTTCCGCAAATATAGATTTTTAAAAATGTTATAAAAAAATAAGGACCAAGAAAATAATATGGGATGTTATATTTTAATTTCCCAAAAATTATTTCGTTGCATGGAAAAAATTTTAGGAAAAATTATTAATGCAAGTTTGTACAAAAAATGTTACTTCTTAATCTTTTTCAAAAAAAGTAATGAAATCGAAAAGTTATGCCAACTGATAATGCGAAAATATGTTGTACAAGACATGTATGATGAAAAACGAAGCAACGAAAGTAAATAAAATAAAAAATAATAAAACAATGGAAAATAAAATTAAGATTTAGACAAAAACATTTGGCGTACCTAGATATTATAAATTATCAAATATATAAATAGTGTTAACACATTTAATATTAACTTTTAGAAATATAGATTACCATTATATAATCATAAAATGTACCAACGCAATTATTAGAAGATTGAAATGTATAATCTATTACAACTTTTTTATTTTAATGCATCCTGGGTAAGCCAAGTGTTTTTATCTAAATCTTAATTTTATTTCTCATTGTTTTATTATTTTTAATTTTATTTGCTTTCGTTACTTCGTTTTTCATATCATGTTTTTCTTGTACAATATATTTTCGCATTATCAGTGGGCGTAACTTTTTGATTTCATTACTTTTTTTAAAAAAGATTAAAAAGCAACATTTTTTGTACAAACTTGCATTAATAATTTTTCCTGAATATTTTTTTCCATGCAATGAAATAATTTTTGGGAAATTAAAATATAATATCCCATATTATTTTCTTGATCCTTATTTTTTTATAATAACTGTTACACTAAGAGTTAATATAAACCATTACCTATTATGACATAACACTCTGCTTCTTATTGAAACTCAAAAACATTTGAACCATATCCTTTTTCTGGCAGATTTTTTAGTAAAAATTTCTAAAATAAGAAACGTCAGCACGGTTTACTAAAAGTGCATACAGGACATAAATTCAATTTCCAATCTCCTCTAAGAAGTATGTATCAAGTAAAATGTTTCGGAAGACTATGTAAGTATTTCTTAATATCAAATAAATAATGAAATTCTTCGCGGCAGATAAACCAAGATTATTTAGTATCCTTCGACTATTTCAGATTTATAAATGTTTCTTATACTGTAGATATGATAATTTGTCACATGTGTACAAGCAGGATAACGTACATTTAAAACTTGTTTTGCTCATGATTACGTAATACGAAAGATTACAAAAATATACTATAAATAAGATGCACGTTGCCGGAACTCTCAATATGTATTAATTCGTTGGGATGCTAAAACGTATCGAGAAGATTGTAATTTGTATTAAATTTTTATAAGTGAAATACAGATTAACTTGCAAAAACTGTGTTAAAACTGTGTTTAAAGGAACTTGCAAAATTCTACAAAAACAATTTATCAATATAATAAAAAAGGTTTAAAAAAAAAGTTGTTTTCTAAACATCAGTTCCTTGGCTTTAAAGTCAGTGAAGAATTTCGAAATCATTAAACAGTATAATGAAAATATTTTTGCATATTTCCTTAATAATAATGCTGATAACGCTCAACCTAATCATTTGGAACGTCAAAAAGGACCCGTCGAGAACAAACAACACAGTTCCCGCATACTGCTGAAATATATCCAACAGGTTATAGTATTCACCCAGGATATCATTTTATAGATACCCCGAATCTCAGAGCTGCGATTTGTCCACCAGGGTAACTAAAAGACTCACGCGGTGTATGTCGAGATATTGCGGGATAAGCCATAACATTGAAGACAAGCAAGTAATTATCAAGTAAAAATTTGTTATCTTTAATTACTACAAAAGAAATTATACATAAAATCTTCTCATTTATCAAGATCTCCATTCTATATATTCATTTCATTAATTACTTTTATCTTTTATATTTACCCTTAGAGAATCTAAATATTTGAAGCATATCACAAAAATTATCAAACAATACAACAGGTGCGAAGAGGTTATTCAAGAAACATAAAATAACATATATGGCAATTTACAAATGTAAATAAACATTAATTATCACTAATAAAATCAATTGTTCTGATATTCTATATGTTTTCTGAAATAAACTATAATCTATAATAATTTACTAATGTTTATGGTAACGGAAAATAATAGGACAATTATGTGTGTAATATAATATATTATGTTAGAAAATTGTATAATAATTAAGAAGTCTTAATAAAATTGATTCATATAATTGTTACGTTAAGAATTAATAAGCAATTATCTACTATAACATAACATTTTTTGTTAAGACAAAAATACATTTGAACCATATCTTTTTCTTGTGAAATTTTTATAAAAATTACCACAATTACAACGTCACCGGTTCAAAGCTATTTATTAAATGCATATAGAAGGCAAGGTGGTCCCAATTCTCAATCTCTTCTAAAAGATATAAATCGAACAGAACATTTCGGGGGACAAAATGAATATTTCTTAATATCGAATAAATAATTTAATTCTTTACGGTAATTAGCAATAATCATATCCTTTATATGTACATGGTATTTGTCACCATTCAAATAATTTAGATTAATGATTATTTGTTACATATAAGAAAACAGGATAAGATTCTTTATAAAACTAGTTTCGCTCTTAGATAGAGAGAGAGACTTACATAATACGAAGGACTGATAAACGCATTATAAATAGCCTGCGCATAGAACTTACAATATGTGTTAATTCGTCAGAACGAGAATAAGAGAAAGATGATTCAAACTTTTATTAAATTTTTATATCTGAAATAATGATTAAACTGCGAAAACTGTGTACAAAGGAATTTGCGAAATTTAAACAAGAACAATTTATCAGTGTAATAAAAAATTTGTTGAAAAGAATTTGACTTCCTAACTTTTATTTTCTTGGCTTTAAAGTCGTGAAAAATATGGAGTTTATTAAACAGCACGATGAAAGTGTTCATGTTTTCTTAATAATTATGCTGACAACGTTCAGCCTAACATCCCTTGGAATGTCATAGCCCGTCAAAAACCAACAACATAGCTTCCGTCTACCACCGAAATACATCCAACAGAACCTCACATTTACCCACCTTATTATATGGACACTCCGAGATTTAAAGAAGTGATTTGCCCACTAAGGGAATTAAAAGATTCACAGGGAATATGTCGAGATATTGAGCAATAAGCAATAAAATTGAAGACAAACAAGTAATTATCACGAACTGATATTTAAGTTATTCCGAAATAATCTATGATTTAATTTAACAACGTTCATGATAGCAGATCCTAGAACGGTAATTATATATGTAATATAACATAACGTTAAAAAGAGTGAAAAATAATTCGCGTGACTAAAAAGTATTAATACAGTTAGTTCATATAATAGTTACGTTCAGAATTAATAAACAACTAAGTACTAACAATATAACACTATTTCTTATAAAACTTTATGAACATATGCACTGCTCTTTCCTACGAAATTTTAGTAGGAATGGTCAAATAAAATAGCCAGCTAGTACAGTTGCTTTAATGCGCGCACAAAACATAAGTTCATTTTTCAATCTCTTCTAAACAGTCTATATCACAAAAAAACATTAAAAAATGTAAATATTTCATAAAATTAATTAAGTAATGCAATTATTCACGCAATTATTCACGGAACATAAATCAAGATAGATACTAATCGCCTCTTTTATATGCATAACTGTTTATCATATTTTAATAATTTATAATGTGGGATAACTGGAAAAACTACTTTTCCATTAACAATGAGGTTTACGTAATACGGAAGTACGCATTATAAATAGCATGCGCGCGAGTAGAACTTGCAATATGTGTTAACTCGTCGAAACGGTAAAACACGTGGTGGAAAGATTCACACAAACACGTACTAAATTCTTATAAGAGGAAAACAGTTTAATTGAAACCGTGTTTAATGGAATTTGAAAGGACAAGAAGTTTATAAATATAATAAGGAAGTTGCTAAGAAAAGAGAGAATTTGATTCTCTTACTTCAGTTTTTTATCATTCGGATCGTGAAGAATATCGAGTTTATTAAACAGTATAATGAAAATATTTCTTCATGTCTTCTTGATAATTATATTAATAACATTCAACTTAATATCACTTGGAATGTCAATAAGAGCCCGTCGAGAACCAATAACATATCTTCCATTTACTACTAAAATATATCTAACATCAACTACACCAACTAGACCAATTGTTACTACACCGCCTGCACCTATAACACCTGCAACATATACAACAGCTCATATTATAGATGCTCCACAATTTGAAGAAGTGACTTGCCCATCAGGAAGACTAAAAGACCCACGCGGAATATGTCGTGACAGGCAATAACGTTGAAGATAAGCAGGTGATTATCAATTAAAGTTTCGTTATTTTTAATTATAACAAATAGAATTATATATGAAAACTTCTCACCTATCAGAATCTCCATTCTATATCTTCATACTTATTATTTTTATCTTTTCTATATTTTTCCTCAAGCAAAAATATTTGAGACATCCCACAACACAAAAGATGTTTAATAATGTAACAAATGAGAGGAGATAATCCAAAAGACACAAGACATAAAATTATATATGGCAACTTACAAATATAAATAAACAGTAATTATCACTATTAAAATCAATTGCTCTGACATCCTACACATCTTCTGAAATAATTTGTAATCTATAATATTTACTAAGGGTTATAGTAACGAACAATAGTACAACAATTATGTGTGCAATATAATGCAATGTGTGTATGTTAAAGGAACTGCGTGAAAAACCATTCGATTAGGAAGTCTTAATAAAATCGATTCATGTAATCGCTAAACTAAGAGTTAATAAACCACTATTTATCATAAAATAACACTATTCCTTATAAGAAAACATTTGAACCATAACTTTCTCTTGCGAGAGAAAACTTACTTTTAATAAGAATTTCCGAAATAGGAACATCAACTGTCCTACGGTTTATTAGACGCGTGTAGAAGGCATAAGGTCATAATTTCCAATTTCCTCTAAAAAATATATATCGAACAAAACATTTCGGGAAACAATGTAAGTATTTCCTAACATTGAATACATAATGCAATTCTGGATAGCACATCAACTATAATTAGTATTAATCGCCTTTCTTATGTGCACAATTATTTGTCATGGCGTGAATTAGTGATTATTTGTTCCATAAGTGGAAACAGAATAATGTATTTTATAAAATTAGTTTATCTTACATATAAACTTACATAATATGAAGGATTATAAGAACGCATTATAAATAATATGCACGTGAAGAACTTGAATGAATGAAGAACTTACATTATTACGTTTCAATTTGTCGGGACGTTAAGACATGTAAGAAGGATTCAAATTTGTATTAAATTGTTGTAAGTGTAAATTTTTGTAATACAGATTAACAATCGAAAACTATGTTTGAAGGAAAACACACTTATAAAATTCAACAAAAATAAGTTATCATTATAACAAAAAAGTTACTTAAAGGAATTTGATTCCTTAACATTAGCTTCTTGACTTTAAGCTCATGAAGAATATCTAGATTATTAAACGTTACAATGAAAATATACTTTCATCTTTTCTTAATAATTATCTTGATAATGATCTTGAATATGCAACCTAATATTACTTGGAATGTCGGAAAGAGCCCTTCGAGAACGTCTATTATCCAAATAGAATCGCATCATACTATACATCACCCGAAATTTAAAGAAACAACTTACCTACCGGGGACACTAAAGACTCATATGGAATATGTCGGAGCATTGCATGATAAGCAATAAAATTGGAGATAAAAAGGTAATTATCAATTAAAAATTAGTTACCCCTAATTACAATAAATTACAATTTTAATAAAATTAATTTTCTATAATCGTTAAACCAAGAGTTAATAAAATTACCTATTATAACAAAATAGTGTTACTTATTATAACTCAAATACATTTGATCCGCATCTTTCTCTTGTAAAATTTTAATAAGAATTACTGAAATTAGAACGTCACCCGTTCAAGACAGTTTATTAAATGCAAGTAGAAGAGGAGGTGGTTGCAATTCCCAATTTCTTCTAAAAAGCATAAATCGAACAAAACATTTCGGGGGACAAAGTAATATTTCTTAATACCGAATAAATAATTTAATTCTGGACGGTACGTAAGCCGTAATTAGCAACAATCATATCTTTTATATGCACAATTATTTGTCATAGTTTACGTAATATGAATTAATGATTCTTTGTTACATACAAGAAAACACGGTAAAATTCTTTAAAACTAGTTTCATTCTTAGATAGACTTACGTAATACGAAAGACTGATAAACACATTATAAATAGCCTGAGCATAGAACTTACGATATATATCAATTCGTCGGAACAATAAGATGTGTCAGAAGGATTCAAACTCATGTTAAATTTTTATATCTGAAGTAATGATTAAACTTCGAAAACAGTGTTCAAAAAAATTTGCGAAATTTAAACAAGAACAATTTATCAGTGTAATTAAAAACTTGTTGAAAAGGATTTTACTTCCTAACTTTAGTTTCTTGGCTTTAAAGTCGTGAAAAATGTCGAGATTATTAAACAACATATGAAAGTGTTTATATTTTCTTAATAATTACACTGATAACGTACAGCTTAACATCCCTTGGAATGTCACAGCCCGTTGAAAACCAACAACACAGCTTCTGTCTACCATCGAAATATATCCAACCTCGCACTTATTCATTTCATATTATAGACACATTGAGATTTAAAGAAGTGGTATGCCCACTAGGGGAACCAAAAAATTCATAGAGAATATATCGAGATATTGCGCAATGAGCAATAAAATTGAAAACAAACAAGTAATTATCACCAACTGATATTTAAGTTACTCCGAAATAATCTATGATTTAACTTAACAATGTTCATGGTAGCATATATTAGAAGGGTAATTATATGGGTAATATAATATAACATTAAAAAGAGTGAAAAATAATTTGCGTGACTAAAAAGTGTTAA